ATTTAGAAACCACACCTAGCAAACTTATCAAAAAATATAAAATACATATTTGAGGGTCCTAACTCAAGACTTACCAAAACAAAAATTCCTGAAATTTATATCAATAAGAATATTTGAGAATAGTTCCCACCACACAAGAATCCATGCTATGTGTATTATTGTCCTGGAGTTCACCTGTCTGACTGTTCAATGGACTGTAGGCTCTTTGAGAACAGCAATCTTGCCCTTGCTATGTTCCAAAACCACCATACCTAGCGCTTACAGAGTACTCAGGGCATTTAAGGAATGAATGAATGAATGTTATACTTATGGTCAGTTTCCCAGAATAAACCAACTCATCTTCTCACAGGTTGCAAAACTAATTATTTTTTAATATGTCTGTGGTCAGATTTTAAATTAGGCCTCAGAGGTGAAAGGTCAGCACATTAGTAACAGTCCATTTATCTAGTTCATGGCTCTCTCCTCTAGGTTATTCCCCCAGGGAAGCCCCTTGCATTAGGGCAGTGATATCAGCATCATGAATAGATGCGAGTCTATATTGTGGTGACCACTCTTCTGTGCCTTGCTTAGAAGCCACAATGGCTGATGCTGGTGCAATGGGCAAAATTCAATGACGTTTGAGGATGCATGTGAAAATTATCAGTGGAAATTTTTTTTCTGGCCAACTTTGTAATAGGATTCTACCTAGAATTAACTTTTTTTTTTTTTTTTAAAAAAAAGCATATTGTGGTATTTCTTCCCATGTCACTCACTCTTAGTGGCATTGAATTCTGATTCAAAAGATCTCCTTTATAAAAACATTTCTGTATTGTTTTAGAAAATTCTAGTTTTCCAACTAATTGCATTGACTTCAGTATTATTTAACCAGAACCCCGTGGCTACTATTAGACTATAACCATCATTTTAATATTGCTGATTCTTCTGTATGTTAATTCTTCATGCATAAGGATGATTTGGGGACCTTGTCTGATTCAAGACTAAGCATAATTACCTAGGTGAAGGAAAACTAAAGGGCAAGATTGTTCACAAGTTATATATTAAGAACATAGTTAGTTATACAGCAAGGAACTTTTGTTGTAAGGAATAAAATAAGGTAAAATAGGTAGACATTAACAGGAAATCTACTTTTGGCTTAGTCATTTCGGTTCTATTCCTTTAGACAAAGATAACTGATTACATAAGTTTTGGGAATCTCCAAGGTTGCTTAATTGCAAATATTGAAATTACATATAGTTATTTTGCATTTAATACCTAAAGGTAGTTGCAGTTTAAATGTTCATAATTTTATAAATAAAAACAAAATACAATATATCAACATATATACTGTTGGTATAGTTCTGGGAAAGAAAGAAACCAAACAACAACGATTGGGTCAGTGTTTACCCAAGAAGAAAGAAGCAGCTTTCTGAGATGCATTAATGAGTAATTAAAATAATGGATTTTATATTTAGAATTTTGGCTATTGTTTCTGGTTAGTCATTCATTGTCCATGAGGAAAACTAGGTCTGCATTTATAGGCTATGCTGTTTTGCATCTCAGAATCCCTTAAATATGGATGGCCACTGGAAAATATGACTAGGGCTTTTTAAAAAAATGTATTTTATTTAAGTTACTTTGGTTTACAACACTGTATATGAGTTAGGGGTATAGGTTTATACCACACCATGCCCATCACCAAATAACCCCTAATCTTCCACCTTAGGGTTTTTTTTTTTTTTTTTTAAAGCAACTGGGATTTTAAGTCTGAACATGTTTTGGTAGGCTAATCTATAAAAAAGAGATTTGCCTTTTTCAGCATAATTCTTGATGAAGGAGGCAAGTCAATGCAAATCTCACTGAGAAATTTTTGAGTGAGCTTTAGAGGGACCTTGCTTAATAGTCTCTGTGCAGCAGTGACCAGTTGTCACAAGGATTGCAGTGGTGTTCTGTCTTGGACATCTTAAACACAGGTTAAAACCTGTCAGGGATAATTTCTCCGGGGAGAGGAAAACTTACTCTAAATCAATACCAAATGGTTATTTGAAATATGAGCATCTGTGAATCTAATTTCATCTCCATTCTTGATCTCATTTATAAGGTGTGATGGGTGCTATGTCAATAATATATCAGTGTTGAGAGCTAACATGAAGTTTAATCCCTCCCTCTCTTCCTGTTTTAATTGTATTGTTATCTGTTAGTCAATGTGGCTGTATTCACTTCTTAGCAATGTTACCATGTCTTTTTGTATGTAAAAGGAAGGAATATAAAGGTGCCTTTTGTAAAGCAACCATTTATCCTCCCAGCACTGTGGAACTCCTATTATATGCAGGCATCAGCAGCAGGGGGCAAAGTATCAGAATTCATCATGTTCTTGTGCCCTTGCTGCATTCCTTTTATCCTTTGATCCCTGCAGCCCTGACAACAGATCATCCTGAAATAGGAAGTGCTGACCAATCAGAAATAGCCAAAGATTATCCTAACAAATGACAAAAATTATAAAATGTCATTATATTATATTATAAACTCATAACTTGTCCCACAAAACAAAGCAAATAAACACTAATTTGCAAGTCATTTATGGTTTTGTTCAGGCTGGTAACAATGTCCTTTTGAGTATTACCTGAGCTCAACCGTATTTCTTGGGAAAGGTCACATCTTTTTTTGTTTTGTTTTAGGAATGAGGTCAGCAATATACTCTATGCTAATGTGCTACTAGATCAAATTCCCAAATGCAGCTCATAACCAAGAAGAAAATTATGGCAGAAAAGATAGAGTTAAAGAAAAAAAAAATTAGAAATAAGCAAGACTATATAAACCAAGTTCATTATCCCTAAGACTAGTTAGGTCTCATGTATTGACCAAAGTATACTACTATATGTTTTCTAATTTAAATAAATGATTTTACTAAGGCATGCATTTTTTTTCATTCCAGTCCATCTAAAAATATATATAGGACAACATTGTTCCATGGCTTCTTATGAAATGGCTTCTTATCCATGGCATGGATATTTCACAGGCTTCTTATGTTATCCTAGGCATTCTATATCTCTAGTACCTATTTGTTCATCAGGCTTAAATTTTCCCCCTAATTGTTCTATGAATTTTCAGTCTATTTTTTCTTGAGAATGGCCAACTCGGGCGTGTTGGCAATGAGAGACCTGCTGTTTCCACTAGTCACGTGAAACTGCTTCTTTTTATTTCTGTGGGTCTTGACCACAGAGACACCTGCAGTAAGGTCAAGGGCCTTTTAAGTCCTCAAATGGACTCAATATTGGCGGCCACATCAGCTATTTCAGGTTTTAAAAACTCTTCTTTTTGCCTTTAACCTTTCTTTAAAATTTGACATAAGAATAGAATTATCAACAGAGCATGGTTTCCTGCTCTAGAAATGCTGAATTAAACTGAGGCTAACTGCAACTCTGGCCCCCAGACGTGGAGTAATTACCCTGCAGACCAATTCCATTTGTAAAATTCAACCTCCCAGTGTCTCATACTCTTCTACTGATTGAACTTCCAAATCAACAGCTGTGTGCATGAGATATTAAGGTTTCATTTTAAATTAACAATAGCAATTTAATAGAAAGTGTAAAACAAGCTCTTTTTACACTCAGGGCATTTACAGTATGTTGAGAGCAAGTCTAATAAACACTTGGCTGAGAAGAGTTCTCCTGTCCAGTGTTGTTTTTGGGAGACAATGTCTGCTGTTTGTGTTGTGACATCTGGCTGGGAAGTTCTCCATGGAAGATGGGAGATGAAAGTCATCCCTTCAGATTTGTGGTCCAAGAACTGAGCAAAGGGGAGATCGAACAACTCGTGACATGCCTCAGCAGTTACAGCTGCTAAATTTTGGTGAAGGGCACCATGGTTTTCAGCCCTTTGTCTTCTGATGGACTGGATTGATAAAGTGTTGACTGAAACTTCTCAGCTCTATTTAATATATAACAACACTTGTTTGCTCCCTTCTGGGGTGGGAGGAAGGTATTGAAAAAGGATTTCGAGAACTTAAACTATTTACTAGAGCATATCATGTAGCTTTTAAATGTCTTTTCTGCATAACTTGGTTATCTTAAACTGAATGACTCTCATGCATTCGCCTTTCTACATTTAAAACAACATTTCCAACCAGTTACAGCTTCACCACAGTCAATCATTAGAATAAAAGTCTTGAAGTATAACACGCAATGACTTAAGTCCCCGAATACGCAATAGAGTTGTTTATGAGGGCTATTTCTTGTAAGAGGGAGCAGCGTCACCTCTAAATGCAAAGGTGGCCGTGAACTTGTCTGGGACCAGTTTGGGTACAATTAGGCCTGTGTGCAATTGAAGCTGCTGTTCTCAAACATGAAATATTGAACTGAGGCCTTCATTGCACATTCAGAGAAATACAAAGAAAAGGGATGGATCTGTATTTCAAGTATTGTTGATGCTATTGGCTTAGACATGTTCCCTTTACTGGGTCTGTTTTGCAAGCCTAAATTGGAGCCTGAAGAATTTCTCCATATAAATGTCTTAAGTATTGCAGTGGCACATCCATCACCTTTTTGCTTTTGAATTACAAAGATAACCTTAAGATATGAGCCTTATACTGGGCAAAGTGATACATACACAGAAAGGGTGAGCTTCCTTAGTGATGAAATCAACCAATGCCCAAGAGGAAAGTAATAGGCAGAAAGGATAGAGTTGATGAAAAAATTGATTCTTTTCCATTAAACTGTACGTGATGTGTTTTTTATGAAGCAGACATCAGCTGAAAGAGAAATATTTTTTCATCTGAAAAAGAGATTGATGGTGAGGGAGAGGAGAAGTATGTAGGAGATCAGGGGATAAATATGTGTCTTATTCTAAAACCATCTCAAATAATGAGAAAGTTGAAAAGCATTCCAATGTCATTACTTCACATGTTTGCTTGGACTTGAGATATTAAAACTATTTAATGTTAACAGTGGCTCTGTTTCATTTAAGTATATTTGGACTTCATTCAGTATTTGCTCATTTCTGAGAGTTGGATTGTTTATTTCCAGGTTTGCCAAAGATGCAGGTCATCAGGAATTATGTGGGGATACCACCCCCAGCTCTTCACGAAGGACCCCCATTACACATCCAGGCAGGGGACACGGTTGAGCTCCTGAGAGGAGATGCACACAGTCTGTTTTGGCAGGTATTGTCTGAATTATGGCTTTTTAGATATAATAGATGATTTATTACCACTTAAAGGAAAAAGCTCTTGTCTCTAGGAACTGATTATATGCTTTCAGCTTCAGAAATTTTACATGATCTGAAGAAAATATTTTTATTCACCTTCCCCATATTTTCCAATGCCAAAACATTGCATTTCCAATGCCAATGAGCACTAGAATACTAAAGAAAAGTGACATTTGTACTTAAAGTTTTAATTACCACTTTTATTAAAAATTAATCCATTGTCACCACATTTTTTCAAAACTAGGACTAGTCCCATACCTATGGACACTATCTAATTTGCGTGGCTTTATATGACCAATTCTCTACAGGGGGGCTGCTAATGAGCTTGACAGCTGCCATTTCTGGACATATTTGATTTGTGTTTATAATACTATCTGCTATACTCAGAGATGCTCTGGGTACTATTTATAAAATATATGAAGTGTGCAAAGTAAATGTGCATGTTGATGTCTGCTGGTGATGAAATCTCCTCTTGACCAGTAAACCTATACTTGGTTGGTTCAAGATTGTATTAACTGGGGCCTTCCTCATGGCACGAGTTAAGACACAACCTGTGAAGCTGTCCACAGCCTCTGCAGCATGAGTTTGATCCTCTAGACGGCCAGGGAGCAACCCACATGGCGCAGCAGACCTCTCCTAACTCGCCTGCTGTTCCCCTCAGCAGTGTACTTCAGTCAATCTGCCTGTTCTGTTCCCCACTCTGTCTCTGGTGAATCCTCTCATCCCCCACACCTCTGGCCTGTACCCCAGTTCTTATACACATAAATAAATAAATCTGAAAAAAATGTATTAACTGAGGTAAACATAAGGTATAGTGTTGAGGTTTTGATAAAGTTGGATGGTAGAACTTTGCTATTCATTAAATGATTCTCTATTTTCATGTGTATGTTAGGAATATTTCCCAATAAAGTAGAAGGGCTTGTTAAAAGTCTGTAATATATTGAAGGAAAAGGGGGCGGGATCAACAGAAAGACTACCACGTGAGTAAAATTTGCTTTGGGTTACAGAGCTAGCAGAGGAGTATTGGATTATGTTCCATTGTGCGCTTGTATAAATAATGACTATCTTAAAAATATTTTATTGTCTTCCATATTGTTACAGAATAATGCCTAGATCAAATGTCTCTTCTTACCACATTTTAATTGCTATAGTTAGAGACTCTTTCAAAGATCCACCATTCTTCCAAGTAACCTACTCTCTTTCACACATCATCCTTCCTCAAAAGTGAAAAGAAACAATAACAGACCTAAATTTTAGGTCTAAATATGTGTCTTTATAATTGAAGAGGGTTTCCTGCAGACAACATATAGTTGGGTCACTTTTTTTGCTCTCATAATCTTTGTATTTTAATTGGTGTATTTAGACCACTGACATTCAAAGAGATTATCTAAATAGTTGGATTAACATGTACCATAATTATAGCTGATGTTTTCTTTTGCTGCTCTTATTCTTTGTTCCTATTTTCATCTTCTCTCTGCCTTTTGTGATTTTAATTGACCCTTTATATTTTATCCCCTCTCCTTTTTTTTAGCATATCAGTTATACTTGAATTTTAATTATTTTTTAATCATTACCCTAGAATGGTATACAATTACAACTAAGCAAAGTCCAGTTTCAAATAACACTATAGCACTTCATGGGTAATGTATATACCCAATATTAACAAAATAATCCAGATTCCTCCCTGTCCCTTATATTATTGCTGTCATTCATTTTGCTAACTTATAAACATACATGCATACACATATAAACATATTAAATATATATGCATACACACATGCACATATACTTACACAATTGAACACATTGTTGCTATTAATTTGAGCAAACTGTCACGATTTTAGAATGTGAAAAAGAAAAGTTTTTTATTATACCTTCACTTCCTTTTTTCCAATGTTATTCCATTTTTTATGTAGGTTGACGTTCCTGACCAATATCATTTTCCTTTTCTATAAGGAATTTCTTTTAATATTTCTTGCAAGACAGAGTTACCAACAAACTCCCTGAATTTTTATTTGTTTGAGACAGTATTTATTTATCCTTCACTTTTGAAGGATAAGTTCACAGGACACAGAATTCTAGTTTGGTGGTATTTTTTTTCTCTCAAAACTTTCAATATTTTACTCCATTTTTTTCATGCTTTCATGTTTTCTCAGAATTAACATGTAACTTTTGTCTTTGTTTCTCTGTAGGTAAGGTACCTTTTTTCCCCTCTGACTTTTTGACTTTTTTTTTTAGGACTTTTCCTTTGTGTTTGGTTTTCTGTAGTTTGAAAATGATATGCCTAGGTTTAGCAGGTTTTTATGTCGTGTTTTGTTGTTGGTGTTTTTCTTTTGCATTTATCCTGTTTAGTGTTTTCTGAGCCTTCTGGATCTTGGGTTTGGTATCTGATATTATTTTGAGGGAAATTCTCAGTCCTTACTGTTTCAGATGTTTCTTTTGTTCCAAACTCTTTTTCTTCTTTTGATATTCCCACTATATGCATGTTGCACCTTCTGTAGTTGTCCTACTGTTCTTGAATATTCTGTTTTTTTTTTCAGTCTTTTCTATCTTTAGTTTTCAGTTTGATAGTTACTACTGTCCACAAATTCAGCTATGTCCGGTGCACTAATAAGTCTGTCAGAGGCACACTTCATTTCTGTTACAATATATACCTTTTTATCTATAGCATTTCTTTTTTATTCAGTCTTGGGATTTCCATCTTTCTGCTTACATTTCCCATCTCTTCTTGCATGGCATACATTTTATCCATTTGCGGTCTTTGCATTTTAATCATAGTGATGTTGAATTACCAGTCTCTGTAACAACATTCCCACTGCATCTGGTTCTAATGCTTTCTCTGTCTTTTCAAATTGTGGTTTTTATGTTTGTTTGTTTTGCATTTTGGTATGGTTTGTAGTTTTTTTCTTGATAGCCAGACATGATGTATGTGGGGAAAAGAGCTGTTGTAAATAGACCTTTGGTAATGTGGTGGTGAGATGTAGTGGAAAGGAAACATTCTATATTCCTACCTTTGGGTCTTCAGGTTTTCATTTCTTCAAAGAAGTAACCATGCTGGAAAGAATAGAGTACTTTTTTCCCCTCCTGCCTTCCGTTCCTTTTCTTCCTGCAGAAAGTTAAAGGAGACTTTTCTCACATATGTACTGTAGGAATCTGTTTGAGCTGCTAATGGTAAATCTCACAATATTACTGGGTCCCAGCAATTTTTAACTCTGAGTCATCAGCACTGAGCCTTCAGCAATTAGTCAAATATAACTCAGCTTCTCCTACCCCAGCAGTGCCACAGATTCCAGAGCAGTTTCTGCCGGTGAGTCTCTGCTCTGGTAAGCTGTGATTCCTTGTATTTACCTATCTAGCTTTCAATCTTGGGGGCCAAGATTAGTCTTACATTTTCCCATCTCTTATGGATGCAAGAAAAGTTGTCACTTTTTCAGTCTGTTCAGCTTTTTGCTTATTAGGACAGAGTGACAAATTCTATTCACCTTACCTGGGAAGGTAAAAACCCTGGTATTCTTTTTACTAAATTTTATTGCCTTCTATTATTTTTAGACAATAAGATGGCATTATTATTTGTCATTTCTCCTCAGAAGCCTGGAAATGAAGGTTTTCTGCTACCATGGTATAAGAGCTTTGGAAGCTCTCAGGAGAATTGTAAGAGTAATGAGAGCTGCTGGATGATAAAATGTATCTGTATGTCTGTTGAGGGAGGCTATATGATAGGAACAAGTAGGCTAATGTCTAGAACAGAGAAAAACAATTAGCACTTTTCCCACAGATCAGCAAGTGCATATTGAGTGTCAACTCTGTATTCACTTCTCAAATACTGCTCACTCTTCAATTAGCAAGTACAGTGGTTGGTTTCATATTAGATCTTCTGTCTCTAGAAGAAAGGTTCATGCTGGCTGGCAGCTAGTGCTGTGTTTGAATTTTCAGAGGTATGTTCAAAGTACATCTAGTATTTCCAAAAAGAACATAACATGAGTCAGAATTGTGTTTGGGGTACCTGTAAGCTAGTCAAAGGATTTTTAGCCAACAGGTACTAACCTCGTTGAAAGAAGCAGTGCTGGAGTGAGAAACCTGGATTCAAGTCATGCATCTGTAACCAAGTAACAGCATAGCCTGGGTCAAGTTACTTAATCACTGGTGGCTTAGTTTCTTGAACCAGAGCAATGCTCATGGCTCAGACTGAGTCATCTATGGGGCTTTGAAATAATGACACACACACAACCCTACTTCCAGTGATTGGGATACACTGGTTTGGGTTGAGCCCAGGTTCAAGTAGCTTATATTGAACCCTAGAAAATTTAATGAAAGTCATTGACTACATGATCCAATTGGTAAGACTCCATGGCAGTTATGGCATTATTTATATTTCACTCATTAGCCTTGTCGTACTGTCATTAATGACAAAACATAAGCATAGCTCAAAATATAGTATTATAATGAACTCTGTACTTGAGTTCCTACAGCTACAAAATAAAGGACACATTTTCAAAGAATTAGTATAAAATTTAAATATACTTGCCACGGAGGTCATACTAAACTTAATAAAATTATTTTCTCTGATTGACTCAAAAGGTACTTCCAAACTTGCAATGCTCCAAGGCTATCAGGATAAAAACCAGTTTTTGTTTTGCAGACTGTCTGTATGGAAAGTAACAGGTGTGAAACTGGTCTGAATGTGTGATCAGACCAATGGCATGATCTTGAATTATATGTTTTAGAACATTAGAACATTGTTAGGTCTAAGTGAGTCAAGAATGTTGTTGACTTGGTACTTTGAAGTGTGTCTGTAGGTATGTGTGCAGTGGCTCCATGTACATTAATTTTCCCATTTTTGTGTTTAAAAAAGTAAGTCAAGGGCTTTATGGTTTGCATTCTAAAAGATACAACTCCTGCGCTGAGAAGATAGCTTTTAAGTGCCTCCTTTGGTCCTTCCCCAATTGGTTTGGTCTC